TATACATAAGCTACATCATATAAAAAAAATCCAGAATGGGCCGACGTCTACGTAACTGTCTTTTGGACTTTGTTATGTCTGGCACTCGCGTGTTTCGTTTTAGCAACTAAGGAGAGGCGCTACCCGGAGATGCTTCTTTCTACCCCAAACCAAAGCAAACCTAACCTGACCTGACGTGACCTGACCTAATCTAACACGCGTAAATATGTACAGCCCTCACGGCAGTTGCCGACTGGCCAAATGCTACCTAGATACGAACATTAGCCCTCACGACAGCTGCCGGCTGGCCAGATGCTACTTAAAAAACAAATGCGTGTTTAACACTTCAGGCTGACCCGCTGTAAGCCAGCGACCTTTTGATTTCGAGGTGGGTACACTCGGCACACTTACTACTAATCCACGAAGATAGCTGGTCATCGTAAGCCAGTTTTTTAATGATGAAATTGGCCATTCTCCGGGCAGCGCCTCTCTTTGGTTGCAAAAAGAAAATACGCCTGAGTCTCCCAGCGCTAGGGGAGAAAAGCCCGGTTTAGCCAAAAAAGGGAATTAAGAAAAAAAAAACGGAATTTGAATTGTATGTGGGGCGGTGGGGAACTTAATCGTGTGCCAATTTCATGGCCCTAGATCAATATACCTATTCAAGATCAAATGAGGTTAAACGTGATCAAATTTGCTATAGTGACTATTTTGCGTTTATACGCCCATAGAATGATAATAAGAAACCGTAGCCTCATAATAAGGTTCAATATATTGCCGAATATAATTATAACAAAGTGAGACGACAGTTTCGGGCGTAGCCCATTATTAAGTCTTGATAATGGGCTACGCCCGAAACTGTCGTCTCACTTTGTTATAATTATATTCGGCAATATATTGAACCTTATTATGAGGCTACGGTTTCTTATTATCATTTTATTTACAATGAGCCTCAAAAAAGCGCTTGCCAACATTATACGCCCATAGCTCTAAGAGATACTGGCCGATTTTCCTATTTCTTCCTTTATACGACATTTGTAGTGTTATGAGAATCTCCAATTAATCTTACCATAAATTTGGCAGTTGGTGGCTTGCTAAGAGTAAGATGTCGCCGGCAGAGGCGGGGATCGGCCGACGCGGGAAACGTCATAGTCACATATTGTGTTTGCACCCTAATAATTTAATTTTACCAGTTGAATTTCGTATTTATTTGAACATTAGATAGCCTGTACATTTTTAAGCCTTCACACAAAATTTGACACGAATCGATCATAATCAGCGGTAAGAAGCGCGGTGCAAAGATGGAACCGTCCCGCGCCGGCACAGTCTACCATTTAGGCGGCAACGGCCGGCGCCGGCCGCCGAGCCGCTCCGGCAGGAATGTTTGACTTAACACCGCTATTACTAGAAAAGTTGTGGACTGATTTACCTATTTTTTGCACGGGAGGATTTGCAATTCAATTGTGGACAGATACTGAAAGTTTGACGTTAATATAACCAGTATAACGCCTTTTGGGGCGACTAACGGAGCGAGCGAGAGGGTGAGCCTTGCACGTGCAAAATTTCGACGGGGTACCTCCAGCTGACTTGTGCACGGCACCCTACTAACCGGTCTCTAGCGATGTGCCAAATTTGAGCACAATCGGCCCAGCCGTTCTCGAGATCTGGAAGCGGCACCCTGCACGTGCGCACGTGCAAAATGGGTCCCAACTGACTTTTGCATGGCACACTACTAACCGGTCCCTAACCATGTGCCAAATTTGAGCGCCATCGGTCCAGCCGTTCTCGAGATCTGGAATCGACCCCTGCACGTGCGCACGTGCAGCAGCACCCCAACTCTGGCACATGGATATGCATTGCCTAGTGGGTGCCTACTTACATGCCAACTTTCAGCGCAATCGGCCAAGTGGTTACCGAGATATTGCAACAATTATAAAAGTGACACCTCTTCGTTTTGCACGTGGCACGTGCATAAGGGGTCACCCACATGCATCGGGAATAGTCGAATACTTGGTAGAAGGAATGAAGCTACCCTACAAAAATTACCGCGTGTGTAATAAAGTTCGTTAATAAAATGCAGCGTTTCACTTTTCACTTTTATTTTGAATTTCCGAGATAATGAGTTTAATCGAGATGACGAGCCGAAAAGAACAAGTGAAGAATAGCGACCGGCGAGGGAGCGGCCCTCACTCGGTCCGACTGCGACTGCGACTGCGACTCGACTGCGACTGCGACTGCGACTCGACTGCGACTGCGACTGCCGGGCTTCGGCCCGCTCCGGCGCGACATATACCACGCGTCATACATACGTCACACATGTACGTCATATCATAACACCAATCAGAAGCGGGTCAGGACAGGCGTCACAGGTTAGGAACGAGGACCATAAAAGGACATTGTTAGTAAGGTAGGGGCTGGGGATGAACTTTGTTACAGCGTGTAAATCGGTCAAGTGGTTGCTGAGATATAAGCCTCGCAAAAGCGTGACCACGGCCGGCCGGCCGGCCGGCCGGCCGCTCATACTCAGAAATTTCCGTTAATCTAAGGAAAGACTACGCTCGCTTCGCTCGCTCCGTAATAATTATGGCGTGAGTTATTGGCGATAAACAGGTGGAGTTAGCGAAATCGGCCCCTTCCACCGCCCGTGCTACGTTGCGCTACTTGTTGCTATATCATCCAAAGTTATCGTTGGCCCACTCTAATTTTCTCAGCACGTGTGCCTTACGTGTAGTGGAAGACAATATCTAAATTTGAGCAAAATCGGAGGGTACCCATTTTTCACAAATTACATTTTAAGAAATTAATTCAAAATAAAATAAATTCAAAATCACCAAAAAATGTAAAAATTGTCAAAATTTACTAGCATAACTCCTTATGTACACGTTTCAGTTTGTTTGACATGGATAGCTTCAAAAATTTTGAAGCTATAGATCTTTGAAGATTGCAATACACGCCCAATTCTGCTCAAAAAGCAGAAGTTTAGCGACTTGTATCTCTGTAGCCCGAGGGCATATGACAAAACCCTTTCACCCTCAGAGGTTTCACCCAATAACCAATAAGTATACCAAGTTTGAACAAAATCGCAGAGGTGGCCGATTTTGGCTGTCCCGGTTGACATGGAATGCCCCAGAGACAAACCGCTCGCTTCTACATAGACTGGAAGTTCATTCCTCCGGGAGCGCCTCATTTCAATGGTGGCTGCGAGGCAATGGTAAAAAGTGCGAAGCGGGCACTACGAAGAACTTTAGAAGCCGCCCATCTGACAGATGAAGAACTGATGACCGCGTTCTGCCGCGCGGAGGCGCTTCTGAACACCAGGCCACTGACCGCGGTCTCATCTGACCCGTCTGATGCGCCACCGCTCACCCCGGCAGCGTTCCTGCTCGGTCACACCCAGCTGGATATCTGCTCTGAAGACGCTGATACGCCCGAGAACGCCAGAAAAAGGTGGCGTCGACTCCAGCAGCTGAACACAGAGTTCTGGCGGCGCTGGATCAGAGAATACTTACCAAGTCTTCAGACAAGACAGAAGTGGACGGAGATGTCACGCAATCTGCGTGAAGGAGAGATGGTGCTGATCGCAGACCCATCGGTGCCTCGAGGCTCGTGGCCCCTGGGCAGAGTCGCCAGGACGTTCCCCGGTCAGGACGGCCTCGTCCGCGTCGTGGAGGTGAACACGCGGAAGGGTGTGTACAAACGACCGGTCACCAGGATCGTGCGACTGGAGCTAGACAACTGAAGTAACTGAGAGCTCATGAATGGCCGGTCGATGTTCCGGCACGTAGTGTTCTGAATGACGTGCTCATTCAGTGTCGGGGGAAATGTTGATGAGAAAAGAACTGTTTTTATTGAAAGTGTGGCGGGTGAATGAACTTATTTTATGTGAGTGGGGGTAGGAGGGCGGTCATCAACAGGAAGTCGCCAATGAGTGGAAGGGTGACGATTAACAGGAGGGTGGCAATGGTGAGGAGGGCGCCTTTGCCCAAGAGGATGACATTGAACAGGAGGGCGTCTGTGAGGAGGGCGCCGATTTAACAGGAAGGTGCCAGTGGATAGGAGGGCGGCGATCAACAGGAGGGCGCCAGTGGTTAGGAGGGCGGCGATCAACACGAGGGCGCATATAGGTAGTAGAGGCCAGTAGAGGCCACAGTTCTGTTTGATAGCGGATCTGATAGGACTTATGTGTCAGAGTCACTTGTACAGCGTGCCTCACCGAAGTGGACTGGGTCTGAGGACACATCGTATGTGGCTTTTGGTGGTAAGAAGTCATGTGTCTCACAGCAGAACACTTATGATGTGACAATGCAGAGTGCCTGTGGTGAAAAGGTGTCTGTCAAAGCTGTGTCAGTTCCTGTGATCTGTCAGCCCCTACAGAGACCTCGTGTGACTCAGGACGTATTACGGCAACTGGGCTTAGCTGGCATTGAGATGGCTGATGTGTACCAGAGTGACCGTGAAGTGTCTATTGATATCCTGATAGGATTGGATGTGTACTGGAACCTAGTGAAACCTGGCGTTGTTCGTGCTGTAGATGGCCTGGTAGCTCAGATGACTGTGTTTGGCTGGGTCATTTCTGGAGCCGTGGCTGGCAGTGGCGGCTCACTCTGGTGTGGGCTGCCAGCTTCTGACGTTAGGTGATGTGCACAGCACTTCACTCAGAAACCTCTGGTCTCTGGAAGGGGTAGGCATTACTAAAGATGATGATGCCATGCCTGATGATCGAATCGTCTGTTCACACGAGGGAGGGACGCTATGAGGTAAAGTTACCCTGGAAACCTGGTGCAGTGGGTAAGCTTCAGGACAACCTCACGTCTGCCAAGGCTCGGTTAGCGAGTCTCACACGTAAACTGTCAAAGGACCCTGGACTGTGTGATCGGTATAACAGCGCTCTGCGAGATATGGAAGAGGCTGGTGTGATCGCGGAGGTGCCTGCTGAGGAGATGTGTACCTCAAAGCCGACTTTCTACCTGCCACACAGACCGGTGGTCAAGAAGAGTAGTAGCTCCACGAAAGTCTGACCTGTTTTTGATGCATCGTCGTGCGGACCAAATCGCGTGTCCTTGAATGATTGTTTAGAGATAGGGCCATGCTTGCTCCCTGACCTGGTAGAAGTGCTTCTAAGGTTTAGGAGGTGGCCTGTGGCTGTGACAGGTGACATCACAAAGGCCTTTCCGCAGATATCCCTCTGCAAAGAGGATCAGGACACACACAGGTTTCTGTGGGAGCGTGACGGGGTTGTGCGCATGATGAGGGCACAGAGAGTGATTTTCGGTGTGTGCAGCTCTCCATTTCTATTGAACGCGACCATACGCCACCACCTGTCTCACTACCCAGACTCTGCAGTGATCACAGAAATGCGTGAAAACTTCTATGTAGACGACCTGCTGTCAGGAGCAGACACAGAGCAGGAGGCCGCCGAGCTTCTGTCAAAGGCTCAGGAGGTGATGTCACACGCCGGTATGACGCTCACTAAGTGTAAGACGAATAGCCCAGTGCTGTTCGAAAAGGCTCAGACTGTGATGGGGACAGGTCTGAACGAGAGCTGCAAAGTACTTGGTGTGATGTGGCAGCCCACAGATGATGTGTTTACGTTTCAGGGCGTAACACTGCCTGATGATATCGTGCCCACGAAGCGAGTTGTGCTCAGTTTTGTAGCTCGTATGTTTGACCCTCTCGGCTTCGTCGGCCCGTTTGTGATGACCTTGAAATGTTTGTTTCAAGAGCTCTGGCACTTGGGTCTACACTGGGACGAGCCGCTTCCTGAGATCTTCTCTGAGACCTTCAGTCGGTGGCTGAGGAAGCTGGAGCTGTTGAAAGAGTTCCAAGTGCCGCGCCGCTACTTCGAGAGGGCGTGGAAGGGCACCTAGCGAGTGGAGCTGCTGGCTTTCTGCGATGCCTCGCCAAAAGGGTATGGTGCAGCCGTCTATATCGGTGTGCCCCTGGATGACGGCTCGTTTGATGTGACCCTGGTGATGGCGAAAAGTCGCGTGTCGCCTCTCAAGAAGCTCACGCTTCCTAGACTTGAGCTTTTGGGGTGTCTGGTGGGTGCCCGTCTGGTTGTGTTTGTCAGACGAGCTCTCCGCCTCCCGGAGGACACGCGCATTTCATGTTGGTCAGACTCTATGATAGCGCTAGGGTGGATTCGAGCCAATCCACTAAAAGGGAAACAGTTTATAGCGAACAGGGTCACTGAAATCCAGAGCCTGACCAGCCCAGCGCGTTGGTATCACTGTGCAGGTGTGGATAACCCGGCTGATATGACCACCAGAGGGGTGTCGGCCGAAGAGCTGGTCGGTTCTGATCTGTGGTCGTCTGGTCCGCAGTGGCTCTCCAGCCCAACAGGTCAACCTGTCGCAGCTGCGGAGCCGGAGCCAGAGGCGCCACGGCTACTGGGTGAGGAGGCTGTTCTGACAGCAGCTACTCCGGCCCCGTGTTCGCTCGACTTCCAGCGCTGTGGATCCTTCTCCAAGGCGGTGCGCGTCACGGCCTGGGTGAGGAGGTTCATTCGGAACGCCAGGACGCCTGGTGCAGGCGCTCGAGGTAAGGGGCCCAGAACGCGGCAGAGTGCCGCTAAACGGCTTCAGCTGGAGTTAGACCCTGACGAGATTGTGCAAGCGAGACGTCAGCTGCTAGTCCTGGTACAGGGTGAGGCCTACCCGGACGAGCTGAGAGCGCTGCGATCGGGCAGAGACGTCGCGAAAGGGTCGTGCCTGTACCGTCTCGTGCCATTTGTTGATGATGACGGACTGATCAGGGTGAACAGCAGACTGCAGATGTCTGATCTGTCCTACGACGAGGTTCATCCCGTCGTTCTGCCGACCTGTAACGTGTTTGGAGCTACTAGTCCGTGAGCAGCACTTGCTGATACGACACGCTGGCGTGTCTGCCCTGATCAGCTCACTCAGAGGGTCGTATTGGATTTTCGGACTGCGACGCCTCGCAAAGAGAGTGAAAAGGGGATGTGTTCCATGTCAAAGGCAGGATACTCGAGCATGCAACGCGCCAGTGGCGCCGCTTCCGAAGTCGAGGGTGACTGAGGCACCCCCGTTTGCTGTCCCCGCATAGACTTCGCAGGGCCGGTGTTCTGTGTAGATGAGCCGCGCAAAAAGTTGTACGTGTGCCTGTTCACATGTGCGGTAACCAGGGCAGTGCATGTAGAGCTGGTAGACTCCCTGTCTTTAGATGACTTCATGCTGGCGCTCAGGCGTTTTGCAGCCAGGAGGGGAATGCCCACTGAGATTTACTCCGATAATGCTGCGACGCTGAAAGGCGCTGATTCTCTCTTGCAGAGACAGTTCGGACATTTGGCACCGGCGTGGAAGTTTATCGTTCCACTATCCCCCTGGTGGGGAGGATGGTGGGAAAGACTGATTAGGTCGGTTAAGTCGGGACTGAGAAAGGCGCTAGGTAAGCGCTGCCTGACGAGGATTGAGTTGGAGACGCTTCTCAGCGAGGTCGAGTCCTGCATAAACTCGCATCCATTGGTCTATGCTGGTGATGATGCGGATGCGACCGAACCCTTGACTCCCAGTCACTTTCTGATAGGCAAGGGGTCCGGCTTTCAGCCGGGAGAGCAGTTAGATCCAGCTGCAGCAGCGCGACAGTCGCTGCCGGCTCGCGCCAGACTTCGTAAGGAGCGCATGGATCGGTTTTGGGAAGTTTGGTCGTCCGCCTACTTGCGCCAGTTACCCACTTCCGTTCGCCAATTCTGCCATCACGGTAGCTTGAGGGTAGGCTCAGTCGTTTTGATTCATGAATCATGAGAAGAACGTTCCGCGCTTAATGTGGCCGGTTGGTGTGGTTGTGCGGCTGTATAAAGGGTCTGATGGTGTCGTACGATCCGCGGACCTACGTACTGCGAAGGGTGTCCGTACTCGCGCGATTCAGTGTCTCCACGATCTAGAGTGCGATTAGAGAGTGGAGCGTCTGGTTAGGCTTTCAGACAGAGTCGTCTCTCTTTCGTTGTAGTTAAGTGTATCCTTGTGTGTGTATACTGACCGGGTTTGTTGATCAGTTGTTTGCTGATGCACTCGTCATTTCTGGCCAAGCTGATGTGTTTCGCTATTTGATCTCTGTGCCATGATTGTTGCTAGGCCTAAAGTGTGTTGGAGTATCACGTATCGATGTTCTCTATACTCCAACGGGGCGGAGAATGCTGTGAAATGTGGACCATATTTAGTGCCGGCCGCCCCCCAGCGCCACCTGGTGCTTGTTTGGTCACCTCCCCAGCGCCACCTATTGGCTCTGTTTTAGGATGGAGCAGATTGCGGGTCAGATTCCGTGGACTGTGGCGCGCCTCTGGTGAGGAAGGTGTGAACCACAGGGCACACGTGGCACACTGACCCAGTTTTGCATCAGCTGATCGCCGCAATAAACCAGTTGACGGTCATCGTGTTTGGGTCGTGGAGGTGCGCCGATTTAGCCGCATGATTTTGAAACTCGCAGATATAGCTCAATTTATTGTAACCAGAGCAGCATTCAGAGTGACTAAACCAATCAGGCGAATTAGTTTCGTAACAACTACCACGACTCCGAAACCCTGGTCAGGGTAATGAAATTTTCAGGGTAGGTGTAAAATTGATCAACGCGAGGGTACTGAAAGTGTCGTCGTGATCAGCTGCTTTTTACGCAAGTTATTTGCAAAATACCTTAGGGGGTACATCAACCTTGCTGTGCCGACGAGGTTAACCCTCGCCGGCCGAGGGGGGGGGGGCGGGTGCCGCCCCCCCCCCATAGGGTTTTTCGCGATAGCTCTGAACACGCTGGCGATAGAGCTGAAACTTGGCATACCTGACCTTTGATTCAAGCCGGATCTTTTGACACCAACAGCATTTTTGGGTCAGGTCAGGTCACTAACCTATGACGTCATAAGTGAACCTCTGCACGGTCTTCAGATGTCGCAACTTCGCAACGCCCTCACTGCCAGAGGAGATGTCACAGGGAAATGAAAGTTGCAGGATCTAGTATCCATTATGAGTCTCACAACTTGTATATCTCGGATTTTTCCTAAAGGTCATATGAGGTCAGGTCATTTGCGTGACCTCACCATTATAAGTCAATGGGGAAAAATGAAAACTGCTATTCTGGCGCCGGGAACGATCTCCAACTATCTCAAGCTCACAGAATCGTGATTTGATGCACTCCTTGCAAGGTTAGATGCGTCACTTTTGCAATGTTGACCTTGCGTGACGTCATTTATGACGTCATCAAGGTCATATTAGTTTTTCGTCAATAACTCTTGATCAAATTGAGCTAGCGAGTCGGGAAAGCCACTAATGAGCTCAGGAAGACCTGCCGAATCGAATTATGTGCGACATGACCTCTTTCGACCAACTTCGTGACCTGGGGTGCTGACCTGACCTTGACCTGAGGTCAACACCCTAAGTTGACCTGACCCAAACAAAAAGTATATCATTCGACGCGCCTGAGCGAGGCGAACACGATGCTGCCAAAATCGCGGCTCTGCGGCCGTTTTTTGCGTTAGTTATTCACCAAAAACTGAACCGTACCTTGGGGCACTTGACCTGACCTCAGAGGTCACCGGTTGACCTAGGACCTTAAAATCGGGTACCAATCTCTGCGTCTCGTAAAGGCGCACACGCTCGCTTTTTTTCCGCTCGCTTTTTAGCTCCACCAGGGGCGAAACGGCGAGGGGGGGGGGTCGTACCCGCACCCCCCTCGGCCGGCGCGTATGTAAAAAACCAATAGGTCCGGCGAGGGTTAATTTATTTATTTATTTATTTCGCATATCTTTGTGGTTTCCAATATACAATTGGCTTGTTACACCACAGCGTCATACAAATACACATACCGGCTGCCATGATATACAGAATAAAATATACATGGACGCAGTGGCGTGAGTGATACCTATAAAAAGCTAAAAAAGACATGTAACGACTGGCTTAACGACAAGGCTAAAAGATGGTGACGCAATGTAATATAAAACACTCATGTTTAAAATGATGGTAGGTGTGTGCGTGCTCTAGAGTTTGGTAAGTATCGACTTTTTCACGTTTTTCTTGAAGGTAAAGTCACTTCTGCAGACACGCGTTTTTTCGTCGAGAGCATTCCACGTGCTCAGCGACCGGATGGGTGCGGCCAAGCGAGTTCGCTCCAGACGGGCCCGCGGTACATTAAGGAGACCGGTCGCTCTCGTACTACGCTCTAGTGATATGTCCGCGCGATACGTGGCTAGTGCTTTTAGGTGAATCGGTGCATTCTCCTGATACAGCAGTGAGTGCACGAGGACACAGTCTCTATAGTCGATCATGTTCTCGAATGACAGCCAGTTAAGTGATTCATAAAACCAAAAAGTGGCCGAGATGAATAGGGGAGACCCGGGAGGTATGGGCCGGTTTTGTGTAAAGACAATTTTCTTCCAGTGGGCAGTGGCTAGACCCGGTTTTTCACTTTGTGTACGTGAAATTGCTTTTCGCCTGCAAAGTGTGCCTGATATTAGGCATCTGGGACCAACTATTTTGTCTCGAGATAACTTTCAATAAATCATGCGGTTTTTCGATCCATCAAAATACACCGGGAGGTATGGGCCGCTGCTATGTTTCATATTCTTTTCTCGACAATGAGAATAATAATCGTAGCTGGTATCTACCTTGATCTCTCTTAGAGCCTAGCCACCGCATAAGCGGCCAACAGCGGCCTTCATGGAGGTCACTTGGGCACATAAGTATTTTGGTAAACTCAATCATGCTCCACGAAATACGATAAATAATATTTTTCTGTTCGAATGAAATTTGTAGTTAAATGTTCGACCTTGCTCGGCAAAAATAAAGCTTATTGAAGAGGACATTCAATGAAAGCATCATTTCATTGATTTAGGATCAACGGGGGTGGGTGGCCCGAACCTCCCGGTTAGGACGCCAGAATGTGCGTAGCATCTCAGCTCATAATCTTGCAACTAAGCTTCAAAGTGTCTATCCAATCCTAATTTGCATGTTTTTAACTTTATGTTAGAGCTGGTCGGACATAAAACGAGCCTGGGTCAAATTTATCACGAATTTTCTGTACGTTCCGTATGTTACTCGAAGAGGGTAAAAACGCTTTATCACCGCTCATTGCCAAAGAAGACTGAGGAAGATTTTGAAAATCACGTGCGTTGCATAACGGAATGGCCGCTACCAGTTTACGCTGTCAAATGTGTAAAAATACGCAACACTTCTTCAAAACTGCGATGGCCCGTGCCTCCGGGGGGCCTATACCTTCCAAGTCTCCCCTACATAACGACACATTTCAAAATCGGTAACGTATGTTGCCCACATGGAAACAACTTATGGCCATTTCGGAGCTGGCCACTTTGCCCCGTCCACTTTGCCCCGAGCATACCGTCCGAAACAAAAATATTCCTGCTCAGCTATTAGTGGGGAAAAAACATTAAAGGGACCCTCCCACCTTAACATTAGATTTGAGTTGAGATAGCCAAAATGGGATCCCTGGCTCACAATTACCGGTTTCGGCACTCACAACATCGAGAAATGCCTTAAATCGGAAATATTGAATTTCAAAATTGCAGCATTTTGATTCAGAGGGGCTAATGCTTAGGAATACCCCTCTGAATGTGTGACGTCAGCGCAGATATCTAACGCTTTTTAAATGTTTGACTAAAACGTTTTGTAGCACGCGGTGGTATATGCTATTTGCGCGCAACATCTGCCGCAAACGCCGCACTTCTAAAATAAAGTCGCTAGAAACAGCGGAGATCCCAAAAAAGTAAACAAAAGTAAAATTCTAATATCTTGAAAACCGGTGAATATTTTTCGGTGAAATTTGGTAGATATTCGTTTTCGCTCTTTCTGAACCGAGCGACATCATTTTCATGCCAATTCATAAACTTTTTTGAAGGTGGGAGGGTCCCTTTAAAAGGCTCTCAGATATGTTTGAACAAATGGCTTGCTTGGATATTTTTGGACAGACAGTCGACGAAAATAACGGACTCTGGAAGGACACTGGATATATATTTTTTATAACTAGCACCACTGCTTTAAACTACTTCGGTCATTCCAGATGAAGCTGAATTCAAGATGTCACGCGAAACATCAGGATCAAGTTCATCTTTAGGATTTTCGAGCAGAGAAGCTGTCAGGATAAAAGCTAAGGTAAGTTTTATTACGGAGCGAGCGAAGCGAGCGGAGTCTTTCCTTAGATTAAAGGTAGTGTGCCACCTTTGAAAGATTTTCCATTTTATTTTTCCTAGGATAAGAAGCTTCTGTTTTTACCTATTATCGCAAAAACAAATCAAAAATGGACCTGGAATAGTGCCTTTTTCGCCTAAAAGTTTATCGGTTTTTCGATATGTATAACAACTGTAGTGGGCTGGCCTGCAAACAGGCGTCGGCAACAATCGCGAATGCGGCGCACATGTGACAATAAGCAAAGGTCATTATAGAGTTACGACCACAGGGGAGCAATGCCGCTTCAACCCTATTGGCCGTAGTGTCTAACGGTGGCGGCCATATTGCGCAGACCAGAAACCGGCTGCCGCCTGTGTTGAGGAATAGGGAATTCGGGACCTCGATTTACGTTTGCGGCCGCCGTATCCGTTACGTTCAAGTTATGTAGATACGGAACCCGGCATCTTACGCAGAATTGAGTGGGGAACACGATCGTATCTTCAGAATTCCTCAAATTCACTCGCCTGACCTACATTTGCCCCGGCCGAGGGGGTTGATTGAACCCACCTCGCTAATGCACCGCTAATTAAACTAGAATTAAGCGGTAAAGTGGTCGTATGCGGCAAAGTATAATGCAGAGTGACTGGCAGGAACCCGCTGTAAGGGTCTCAGGTCAACCGGTGACCTCTGAGGTCAGGTCAAGTGATCTAAGGCACGGGTTCGGTTTTTGGTAAATAACTTCGCCAAAAATGGCCGCGAGCCGCGTAGAGCCGCGATTTTGGCATCATCGTGTTCAGCTAGCTCAGGCGCATCGAGTGATATACTTTTTGTTCGGGTCAGGTCAACTTAGGGTGTTGACCTCAGGTCAAGGTCAGGTCAGCACCCCCAGGTCACGAA